ACTATGGCACAAGGGGGCGGGGGCATGACATGGCCTTCCACTCGGAGCTCCGAGACGCACTCTTCGCAAGCGGCCTGCCCTTCGTCCTGAGCATCAACGACGTGCCTGAGGCCAGGGAGCTCTACAGCGGGGCCGACTCCATCATGGCCCTGTGCTCGGGCAAGAACCAAGCCCGAGCTGCGGTAGTGCATCGGGGCAATCCTGTGCTCACGGCAGGATTGAGTGGGGCAATCCTGTGCTCACGACAGGATTGACTGAAAGGCAGCACCAGGCCCGCACCAGGCCCGCACCAGGCCCGCACCAGGCCCGCACCAGGCCCCCAGGCCGGCGGATAAGAGGGCTGCAGAATGGTACTAGGCACCAACCATTTTTTGTTGCGCCCGCGTGGAGTTACGCTGCAGACTGCGCCGCTCGGGAAACCGCTTTTGCGCAACTTTTCGCCCCAAAGAAGCGGTGACGAAGCGGTGCGAAGCGGTGACAAGCGGGTGACAAGCTCGGGCTGGAATTCGCCGGTTTTCCGGGCCGAAAGCGGAATCCTGAGCAAAGTGACCGTCTGGAGCCTGCTTTCGACCGAAAACGAGCGAAGCTTGAGGCTCAGGCATCCCACTTGCCTTCGGACTCGACCGTTTTGAGCGTTTTTTGCACCAAAAACGGACATCAGCGGTGACATCAGCGGTGACAAGCTCGGCGGGCTGACGGACCTCCTCGGCGGGCTGCCGGACGTGACGAGCTCAGCGGGCTGGAATTTGCAGGCTTTTCCAGGCAGAAAACGGACTCCGGAGGACGGCGAACGTCTGGAGCCCGATTTCGACCGAAAACGAGCGAATTTGGTGGCTCAGGCAGCACATTTGACGCCTGACACGAAAAAACGAACTTTTCGGAGTTCGCCGTTTTCAGCGCTTTGTGCACCAAAAACGGAGCGGTGACGAAGCGGTGACATCGCTGGTGACGAGTTCAGCTGGTTGAAAATTATGCAGTTTTGGTGGGTTTTTTGGCCAAAAAACGAAAATTAATAGGGGACTATAAGCTGCCTTTCCATACTACTCTCACTAGCCACAGCAAGCGATGGCCGTCAACGCAGCGGTCATCCACTAAATTTGAGTTCTTGTTAATCAACCATGGGTGTTACAAATTGGTAACGCTCCAAAACAGTTGCAGAGCTAAGAGTGTGGCCGGGACTGCGTCTTATTATCGGGCCGGTAAAAACACTTAAAAGGAGTCTGTGGCCGTGGTGGAAGTGGAGACGGAGTAAGGCTGGACAACAGCGTGTTTTCCAGAAGCTGCTGCGGGCCAAGCCACGTACCTACACCAGCTGCTAGGGCCGCGTCCGTCTGACTTGGAGTCTGTACGTGGGCGTCTTAACCTGCTGAAGGCAGCCTAGCCAAACGGGCAGCGCAGCGCCTCTACAACCTCCAGCATAAGTGGCGCACCTTGAAGAGCCATCAGCCACACGTGCCGGACCTCTACAAGCGCGCAGCCTTTGCGACGCAAGAACTCTGCGGGACGCAGCGCACGTTGCTGGAGGCCCAGAGAGGCAGCGCTCCAAGTTGATCTTGCGCTTGACGTGCTTGCCCTTGCGCTCACCTTGACGGCGCGCTGAAACTGGCTCTCAAGCTCGGCGCGGGCGGCGCCCAAAAAGGCTTCTGACAGATGATCATGTTGTCGATAACGCCCTGCTCCACCTTCTCTGTCCACAGCTTCAGGTCGGTGTTAGTTGCAAAGACCCTCTTGGCTCCGTCGTCCACAGCACCTCCACGTTGACCTTGCGCACCACCACGCCCTGATGGGAGTTCTCTATGGACATGAATTTCCCCCCCTTGGCATTGGTCTGAACGTCCAGCCCAAGTGCAAGCTTCATGGTTGCGAAGTTCGGCTTTTTATCCCGCGGAGAAAAATGTCCGGTCCGATGAACGCGCAAGTTTTCTTGGTCGTCGCACTGGCGGTGATCTTGCTCTTTAAAAATGCCGAGACTCCTGAAGCTTTTCTGCGGCGCCAAGTCGGTGGGCAGGGCCTTTGGCTGGAAGGTCGTCTCGCTGGACATCGTGTCGAAATTTAAGCCCACGATCCTTGCGACATCCGGAGCTGAAACTACACGACGTTTCCGGGGCACTTCGACATGGTTTGGGCCAGCCCGGTCTGCGTGGAAGACAGCCGCTGACGACGCGCCCGCAACGGCTCCTGGAGGGCGACGTGCTGGTGCTCAGCGCCCTTGAGATCATTGCGCACTTTGACCCCCTCATGTGGGTTGTTGAGAACCCGGCCACCGGGCTGCTGAAGACCCGGCCGTTCATGTCCCGCCGCAGGTGCAACCCCGCACTGAAGAGGGGGACTTTTGCGCCTGGACCTTAATCGCCTGTTACCGGGGTTGCCTTGGGAAGCGCTGAAGGAGGGGAACATCTCGCCCCTTGTCCTAGGTGCACCGCAGTGCCCTAGGAAAGTGCCACCTTCCCAAGCAACCCAGTAAAAAGGTGTGCGCCTTGCTGTCGGCTTTTGGGTTTAGGGTTCTTTGTGGTTTGAGGCTAGGAGCAGTGCGCGGGACCTTTAACGCTAAGGGTTTTCTTTTCCCTTGTGTTTATAGGTCGGGGGTGAATCTCCTACGCCGCCGCCATTTGGTGCTCCTAGCCCTCAAACGTGAGAAGCCCACCCACCCGACCCTTCTAAGCCCTAAGCTCGCTTAGGCCTTCCGGACGGCCCTCCCCGGGAGCCCTCCGGACATGAACTGGGAGCGCACTCTCAGCTTCATACCAGGGCCCGGACCCGCGGTCTGGCCCTGTGGGCGTCTCTGGACCCGCAGGTCCGTTGACGCGGGTGTTATGGCCCCCGTCTGGCATTTTTAATGCAAGGGCACGCTTGTCTTGCAACCTTGTTTTCCACAAGGGGGGGGAACATCTCGCCCCTTGTCCTAGGTGCACCGCAGTGCCCTAGGAAAGTGCCACCTTCCCAAGCAACCCGGTAAAAAGGTGTGCGCCTTGCTGTCGGCTTTTGGGTTCAGGGTTCTTTGTGGTTTGAGGCTAGGAGCAGTGCGCGGGACCTTTAACGTTCAGCTGTTGAGGGCAGTGCCCGCGGTACGCTCTTACGAATCACGGACCGCTGTCCGCTGATTTATGCGTGGGCACGCATGCCACGCCGTGCTTATGCACTGCAGCGTGCCAGGACACGCATGTCTGGCTCTTTCAATACGTTTAACAGGGGTGAACATGCCCCCGTGCACTTTCCACCAACCCGGTTCAAAAGGAATGCGCGCTTTTCTCGCTTTTCTCTTTTGTGAGGGTTGTTTGGGTTCAAGCTAGGAGCAGTGCAACAGGTCTTAACGACATCATGATTCCAACAGCAGGTCGGGAATCTCATTTCGAGCGTCCTTCACGTACTGTTCAAACAGGGCGAATGGCCTGTCTGCCTCACTTTTGAAATGCTTCGCACACTCAAGCTTGATGATAGGACCGCAAACGCGGACCAGCGTCCGACAAAAGGTGCATCGCGCCTTGCCCTTTCTCCGTCTCTGCTTCGGCGCATGGTCAATACATTGAGATGCCCGAGAGGTGTGATCAACATCCCCTGTCTGCACACTTCGCACAAGCAACGTGAATAGTTCCTTGAAATCCGGGAGGACAACTACATTGTCTTCCAAGAGAAGCTTTTGAAGCTCAGTTGCAGATCGATGGATGAGGTAACTGTCAAGCAACTTCGACATAGCAAGATAAGGTAAACTGCTGTTCTCGGCTTGGCCTTTTGCAAGATCGTCTTGTCCTTCGCAAGCAAAAAGTTGCTACTTCCGTTTGCGTGGGGCGCAGGCGTACGGCCTTGTGTTCTGTCCTAAGACTGACTGCGGGGTCATTAGGGAATTTGTTTGCCTGTTGCTTCTTTGAAACGTTTTTTGTTTACTAGCACGAGGACTCTCCGTTTAGTCGACCGGTGACTTTGCTGAAAGCGACATGGGGAAAGAACGTCTGTGTTTTGTTTTGTGGTTTAGTTCTGTGTTTTGGTTTCGGTGTGACTTTCCTTGGCTTTTTGTTTTCCTGACACAAACGGCCGTGTGGAACAGCAAAACGATCCGCTCATCGCAAAACCGCAACATGAACTGCAGCAGCCCCTGTCCGAATTTATCGTTCATTGTTTGGCACCACGCAACTGTGCGTCTTGAACAAAAAACAATTGACAGCCTTGTCCAGTCCAGTCTTGTTTCTTGCGGTGCTTGACAGGTCGCGCAGAAAATGCAGAAAAAGGTGGGAAGCTGCAGCAGGATGTTGTGCCACGGGCCGTGCCCGTCGTGCGTGGCACACTTGCTCAAAAAAGGGTCGCTACTATTCACATTTTGTTGGACGTGTTCAGGAAATTTGTGCAGTCTAGACTTTGTCGTTGCAGTATGTGCCTTAAGGAACTGTTCAGTTCCATGTTTTTTTAGTTCATGTTTTGCCTTTTTTGTTGTTCCTGCATGCTGCAACCATTTAAATTGTAGTTCAAAGGAACATCGCAGGAACATTGAACGCATTGCAGCAGATGCATCACAGGAAACACGTTTTTGGGTTCCCGGGTTGACCCTCCCTTGTTTCCGCCGTGTTTTTGTTGTTGCCTGTTTCTAGATCAGGCAGCGTGTTTCGCTTTTTATTGGCAGTGTCGCGTTTGAGGCTTGTGTTTCGGTTGGTGAACGTTGTGTTGATATTCACACGCGTTGCCCCATCGATGCCAACATTCGCCGCAATGTCTATGGCTTGCTGACCGTTTTCCAGCATGTACGAAGGTCAATATCCTTTGTCATGATTTGCATGAATTGTATGTTTGCATTGTGTTGGTGTAATTCTGCAAATGCTTGTGTGGCTAGTGCAAATCAAGAAGCGGACGGCGTTATAATCATGCGACGTGCCAGTTGGATTCAGGCTCTTGATTTCTGTTTGAGTGGCCCGTGTTTTTTCATGTGACGCGTTTTGTCAGGATTGCCATGTCGGTATGAGCTAGTTTGCGTGTAGGCACAGCAGACGGTGCAGCAATGGTAGCAAAATCGAATGGCTTCGACTTGCACAAGGCCACCTGTGCAAAAGGACCCAAATCAAGTACTTGACATTGAGGAAGCTGCGGCGAACGTTGGCTGGCATGAACGTGAGGTGCCCATCCGTGCCGCTTTGTTACGGTGGTACTTGAATCACCGGCGCAAATTGCCATGGAGAGGTGATCCTTCACCATGGACCAGGAGCAAGGCAAGACCATCGAAGCAAGGCAAACATCAAATTCAAAGAACGCTTCCCGGTGTTTTCGGGAAGCTGAATTCTGCGTGTCGGCCTGCGGTGATTGATTTGGACGAAGAAGACACGCAGAAGGAAGAACAATGTTTTCATCGCTCTGCGTATGGGGTTTGGATTTCAGAGGTGATGCTTCAACAAACACAAGTTGAGGTGGTGATCGATTATTGGACTACATGGATGCGATCGTTTCCTTCTGTGCCCGCATTGGCAGCTGCGTCTGCAGATGAGGTAAATGCAGTTTGGGCCGGCTTAGGATTTTACGGGCGTGCCAGAAGGTTGCATGAGGGTGCCAAGTACCTATTGGAAAAACATGACGGTGACTTGGCTGTCGGTTCGTTGAGCATTTTGATGTGCTTCATTGTTTTGCCGATGATTGTGGCCGCGCACATCATTTTCCAAAACACCATCGTAGTGTTCCACAGGTTGATCCGCGGCTTTTTCTCCATCGTTTTGTTTTGGCAAACAGCCACCAAGCTTTTTTGCTTTCTAAAATTCGTTCGAACCACACATCCCTGAACAAGTCAACATGGGGAAATACAAGTAGCACCCGATTCTTCCAGGTTTTCGGCGATTCGAACAGTGACAACAAAATTCGGTGCGCTGGGGCCCGCTGCGTCCAAGACGTTTTTCCCCAGGCGAGTTGCCCCAGACGTTGGAGGCCCTGCGCGGCATCCCCGGGGTTGGTCCATACACGGCCGGGGCCATCGCCTCCATCGCGCTGGGCCTCCGGGCGCCTGTGGTGGATGGGAACGTGGAGCGGGTCTTCAGCCGCCTGCAGGTGCCCACTTTACAAGAACTTTTGTCTTTTCCAAAACGGTGCCCGTTTTGGGGGCCCGGTTTCAAAGGCAAGCCAGAAGGCAAGACAACATGTTGGAGTCCTACCTATTGTGGCACATGCCCGTTTGAACCAATCTTTGTCCATTTCGAGTTTAGTTCAGGGTTGCAATACTGTCATTGGAACGAATCCGACACCAGCGCTGGGTGTTTCTCAAAAGGCCCCTCCATGGCCCAGGGCGGGCTGGGGGCGCCGGCCAAGTCTGCAAAGCTCCAAAAAGTCTGCTGGGAGCTGGCAGAGGAGCTGGTGGATCCGGAGGACCCAGGCCGGGAATTTAGGGGGTTGGGCTGTTGGGCAGAAGCAACCCGGCGTTTCTCGCTTATTTTCTTGGTCTTGGTTCTTTCTCGAGTTGACCCGGTTGGCCAGAGGGTTTCCCTACAAAGACAGAAAGCTCTTGCTGAAAGGTCACCCTCTGATTCATCGCGGCACACGAGTCAGGGTTCTTTAGCAATCATGTCTGCTTGCTGTAAGCCATCATTGCCATCCATAACATAGGTGTCGTTGTCGGGCAACAAAAGGGAAACACATTTTGAGTTCCGAACCTATTTTGACACAAACCGATGGCATGCATGGGGAAGTTTGAGGAGGGCCCCCCTTGCGGCTTCAGAGACCGCACCTCATACTTCTCAGGCTGCGTAACCGCCCATAAGAGCGAACCGCCCATAAGCGTGGCCGATCTGGGCCAAGATGGCTGCCACAAAGGGTTGTTTTTGAACATTGCGTGGAGCGGATTTAATGCGACTTCTCCACAGCACTGATGGGAGCATCCATCCGGTACAGGGCGCTTTTTTCCACGGTTCAGATTTGATCCCCTTTCGGTCATACCATCCTTCTCGTTTCAGCCCTTCGCCGAGCTTCAGGTCACTAGCGAACGGTACGGACTGATGCGTCAGATGCGTCAGCCGAGTCTCATTGAGGTGCCTTCAACCAGGCCCTCATGGAGCTGGGCGCTTTGATCTGCACCCCCTCATCGCCCTCCTGTCAGCAGTGCCCGGTGCGGCCCATGTGCCGCGCGCACCAACGCATGGTGGCCGGGGAGGCGGGGAGGGGAGGTAGAGAAGAGCGCGGAGGGCGGAGGTGTGGTGCGCCTTTTTTTCTTGTGGAGGAGAGAGGATATGCAAGCCGTGACAGCCTCATAATTCTGAAAACAAAGAGAGAACGAGTTGTTGCGCAGGCTAAACAGAATGAACCTGATCTCGGCGGCATTCCACAATTGTCGCAAGGAAAGGCATATGTCGCAGCACCTCAAAGTGACGATATTTTGGTGAGGGTAATCTCTTGCTCAGATGAGCCACAATCAAAACCCAGGTAAGTGAAGGGGGGGTATACACCCTTTGTATGGCTAGAACAAGTGCTTGGATATCCCGCAAGCCTCTTGGGGGTGGAAACTATAGAGATGGTTTGGGACTCGTGGCGCCTGAAGGCTTGAACTCTTTGGGTTGGTTGCCATGTTTCTTTTTGTTCCCCTTCGGCCAAATGATGGGAGCTGGGGTAAGGTCGAGTTCTAACCATAAACAGCCGCCCTTCCCTGGTGGCCCCCCGTTTTGGCTCAGGTGGCTTCGGTCACGATCTTCCCCGGCAAGGCTTTGAAGAAGCCGCGCCGGGAGCGAGTGCTCGCTCTGGCGGCGGTCAGCTGTGGGGAGGCGCGGGCTGAGCCATCGGAAGTCATATCGAAAGATGGTGCCAAGGATAGCGGCCAGTGGGCCATGAAGAGCAAAGCGAGATACATCGACATGTTTCTCTCGCTCCAATCTGTGGCCAGAGAATCACCCCGGCCGGCCGTTTCAAAGTGCCGATCGGATGCCAAACCGAAGCTCATCGAAATCAAATCCAATTGCGGTAGGAGTGGGTGTTGGTGCGGCGGCCGGCGCGGGGGCTGCTTGCGAACCAGCTGCAGTTCCCTTGTCTGGAGCTAGCCGAGGCGAGGGGGTGGTTCTGTTTGTTCGCTTTTGGAGGAGCCAGAAATCGCTTTGGGCTCCAGCGACCGGTCCGCGTTCCGCGTTTTGCTGAGGCGGACCTTGCCTCCGGTGCTTCGCAGCTGCAGGCGCTGCTGGCGTCGTTTGGGCTGGAGGTGGATCTGGAGCCGAGAGCTGGGGCTTTGGAGCATCTCTTCTCCCACGAGCGCCATGTGATGCACGTCTTCCAGGGTCACCTGGAGAAGAAGCCCGCCAGCCAGGAGGCCGTTTGCCGGAAGAAAACGCACCGGAATTCGGAATGCCCTGTTCCGAGGCTGTGCTTGAGTTCTCTGACTGGGGTGTTCTCCAGTGTTTTCTGATTGGTGCCATTAGCAGGAATGCTGGCGGTTTCAGCAATGGTCACGTGGCAATAGGCCTGGTTGGGTGTGTCGTTGTTTGGGGGTACTCTTGTTGGCTTGAAAGGAAATCAAAGGGAAACCGCACTCTTTTCCGCTTGCCTGAAAATGAGCATGTTGTGGGTGTTCTCACTCAGGGTGTCAGGGAGGTTTCCCCTTTTTCCACAGTTTGGTAAAGCACTTGATGTCACTTGTACTGGGCGTTCGAGGGTTCTTGGAGGAACGGGAGCTCATCTGGCTGACCGCATCAGATGCAGAGCGCGCCGGGATCACCAGCGGGCTCCAGAAGGCAAGGCGCCAGTCAGAAGCAGAAGCTGCAGGGTTTAAAATGTGAGTCACGGCCATGTCATGTGTTTGTGTATGTAGTGGATGTACCTGCATACTTGCGCGTGAATTTCCCTGAATGTACACACAATATATAAATATGTTGTGATGGATGAATGCGAATGTTCCCAAGCATGCCAACATAGACATGCAGGCTGGACTTGCCGGCCAGGTCTTTGATGCACTTGGGCCATCACCAAAGAAGAGAAAGCGCCGAAGCTGCTGATTGAAATGTGGTGCTCCAAGGTGCTTCAACGCTGCTGAATTAGCTGTAGCGAGCTTGTCAGTTGGTGGGGTGTCAAAATGATTAACTAGAGGACGATTGGCCCGAAAGCATTTTTCCACAGGTGCTCATCCAGCCGCGGAGACACCTTTTTACATCGCTGCGGCGAGCGTGTCTGCGCGCGGCAATGATCAGTGTGTATGGTCACATGAGAGCTCCATCTCATCATCCTACTTTCCTCTCAAACTGCGCCGCGCGATTTCTCACGAAAGTGGTCTGCGCAAGCTGCATTGTTCCAGGCTGCTGCGCGCAAGTTGCTCTCTGCAAGCTGCTGCGCGCAAGTGCTCTGTGCAAGTTGCTCTGCGCCTGCTCTGTGCAAGTTGCTCTGCGCAAGTGCTCTGAGCAAGTTGCTCTGCGCAAGGGCTCTGCGCCAGTTGCTCCGTGCAAGCGCTTTGCGCATGTGCTCTGTGCAAGTTGGTCTGTGCAAGTTGCTCTGCGCAAGTGCTTTGAGCAATTGCTCTGTGCAAGTTGCTCTGCGCAAGTTGCTCTGCGCAAGTGACTCTGCGCAAGTTGCTCTGCGCAAGTGCTGCCGGAGCTGCGGGGGTGTGCTCCGCGTACTACGTTTGTACTTAAAAGTTGCGATTCTCCAGCCGGAGCTGCGGGCGCGTACTACGTTTGTACTTAAAAGTTGCGATTTTCCAGCCTGAGCTGCGGGAGCACGCTCCGCATACTACGTCTGTACGTAAAAATTGCGATTTTCCACCCGGAGCTGCAGGAGCACGCTCCGCGTACTACGTTTGTACTTAAAAGTTGCGATTTTCAAGCCGGAGCTGCGGGTGTGCTCCGCGTACTACGTTTGCACTTAAAAGTTGCGATTTTCCAGCCTGAGCTGCGGGAGCACGCTCCGCACACTACGTCTGTACTTAAAAGTTACGATTTTCCAGCCGGAGCTGCAGGAGCACGCTCCGCGTACTACGTTTGTACTCAAAAGCTGCGATTTTCAAGCCGGAGCTGCCGCGGACCAGGGGGGAATCGAACCCGCGAAAGCAGGCGCGCAAACCACGAGACAACTTCCAAAGGTCGTTTCGCGAGCAAGAATATTTGCACGGCGCCACAGCGAGAGCGCTTCGACACGCACAATCTCCGCAGAGGGTTCGCCGAGACTAAGACAAATTCGCACGGCGCCACAGCGAGAGCGCTTCGACGCGCACGATCTCCGCAGAGGGTCGCGCGCGCATGCTAGAAATCGTAAAAAGCCCTCAGTTTTTGAACCTCGACCACGCGAATCTCCGCAGAGGGTCGCGCGCGCACCGCAGAAATCGTAAACAGTCCTCAGTTTTTGAACCTCGACCACGCGAATCTCCGCAGAGGGTCGCGCGCGCATGCTAAAAATCGTAAAAAGTCCTCAGTTTTTGAACCTCGACCACGCGAATCTCCGCAGAGGGTCGCGCGCGCATGCTAAAAATCGTAAAAAGTCCTCAGTTTTTTGAACCTCGACCGCGCGAATCTCCGCAGAGGGTCGCGCGCGCATGCTAAAAATCGTAAAAAGTCCTCAGTTTTTGAACCTCGACCACGCGAATCTCCGCAGAGGGTCGCAATCCCGAGCGACGATCAAACTCCCGCCCCGGCGCCTTAGAAACCTAAACTAACTTACATAGCTGCTAACGCCGAAGCTCTAAGCTCTACCTCACCTTGGCTCTATGTAACTTGGCTCTATGTAACTTGGCTCTATGTAACTTGGCTCTATGTAACTTGGCTCTATGTAACTTGGCTCTATGTAACTTGTCCAAGGGCTCCGCACGGAAGAGCCCTTCGCGATGCTTTCGGGAAAAACAGATAGCAAAAAATAGGAAACGGTTTCGAAAGTGAGTCAACATGACACCAATCACTTTTTGGTGCTTTCTAGTTTTGGCACATTCCCAACTGATGGGCTGTTGGGGAGCGCTTCAAGCTTGAATGCTTGAGTCGGGGAAAAGTTGCGTCATGCACCTTGAATGAGTGCGGAAATTCTCAGTTCGAGGGTGCTGTACAAGGGCTGCGGTCTTCCCAAAAAGTCACAGATCCTCAGTGACCGGAGGCCGCTGGAGATATTTCGGCAGAGGCTTTGTGGGCTAAAGACTACATCGCTAGGCGAGGGTACCAAACTGAGACAGCTTGCTTGGCCCTGCTGGCTCAAAAGTACAGAAACAAAGTAAAACAAGAGACGTATCTGAAGTGGAGTCAAGAAGCTTTGCTATTTGCTTACTGAGACTCCATCATACATTTCTTGGTCATGTTCATGGCAGATGCTTAGCTTTGAATTGAATCTTGCTTGACCGGACAGCTTCGACGGCATGACAGACGGAGACGGGGAGGCGTGGACTGAGTTGTTCCAAACAATTCCAAATGATTTCATGTTTGTGAGCATTTTGTTGATTGTAAACATCTTCTTGAAGATACTTTTGCTCCTCGGCTTTACAGGCATTGCACGGCCTTTTTGAAAACACATGGTCATGACATTGGTACCGATGTCGTCTGGGCTCATGATGGTGCTCTTGAAGCTTTTCAACTGGCCTACTCTGTGTTTCTCAAAACTCGACTCCCCTTGAAATGGTGGTTTTGCTCATCGCTTCCAACCATCTAGAGAAGCACCCACTTCACTTCTCCAAAGCCCAACTTCGCTTGGTGCCTCAGCGTTGGTCCACCTTGAGTGATCGACTCAATCGTCCGCCTTCTGCTTGCCATTGGGCAAGCGAGGATTGACATGACTCGATGAAGTAGCTTGATTCCAAGGCCTAGACAAGATACACATGCTTTGATGCGGAGTTGTGTCCTTTGCAAGGCTACAGTAAAAGACAAGCGCCATTCACTTGCAGAAGGACCCCTCGATTCGCAAGGCAACCTCATTGATTCGTTCCAGGCGCAGCCAGCACCAGGACCCGGAAAAAAGGGGTTTGCAGCACCTTCAGCCAAGATTTGCCCCGGAGTGGTACAACATGTCACCAAGAAACGCATTCATTTCCGCCGGTCTCCCAAGGTGGGTTGTACTCTTCACATTTCACCCAAGAGGTCTCATTCGACTGAAACCAGCTTCTTTGCTTTTGCCACGGGTACGGATGCCAAATGCTACTCTTTTCCTGGAGGCACTTCGTGCGCAGTTCACGAAGATCAGACTTTGGTGGCTTTCATGTTGTGACCGAAACTTTGACCACCAGCAAAAGGGGAAGCAAGAACACAATGTGGCTGTGGGTCAACAATTGTACCCGAAATTGCCACCTGGTAGGACTAAACACCAGCGGTTTTCTTGTGGATTAATTTTGACCCGCTCCCATGTAGTCTGAAAGGTCGAGGCATGTGTCTTGGCTTTTCGTAGGATTCACAGTATATCTTTATGGGCTTGAGCTGAGGAGCGGGGCAGATGTCGTTTGGACCGTGTTGGTTTAGACATGAACAGGACCCGCGGAGGAGGCGGAAGTAGAGGAAGGCTCGGGGTTTGGCGTGTTGGATTGAATGCCCAGAGAGGAACCAATTTGTGCTCTTCGTGTGTGTCAGTGAGGCAACCCCCCAGTGTTTTGAGGATATGCTCGGACGCATGGTATGCGCTGATCCATAATTTCGTGGCTCACTCATGAAGCTCCTGCCAGTGGAGCTTGCTCTTAGTTTTTGGGACCCTCCTGATGAATCGAGGTCAAGCGTCAAGACAGACAGTTTGACTGTGCGCATTGCAACAAGGTGCATCGGCATTACACCAGGAGCGGTAGCTTGGTTACATGAGGAGAAAAGCAGATCCGGTTATTCACGTGCTCACTAGTCACTAGCGTGTCTTCCGAGATTCGCGCGGAATTTTGCCTTCTTTTCTCTACAACTCTAGTCCTTGTAAAGGGAGAGCCATCTTCCCGTGTGATTTGGGCCATTCCCAGGCGACGACTCCAAAGAGGGTGAGGGCGCCAAGGACGGTGAAGAGGCAAAGGATGGCGTGGATGGCGTGGATGGCGCGGATGCCAAGATTCTTATATGAGGTTCCTCTTCAGACTCTGTCAGATTGGCCAGCTTCCTTTTGCCTGCCCCCTTCAAAACCATGCAACGGAGGTTCCCCCAAAAGGGGACACAGTAATCCTGTAGCCAATCATCCACTGCGTGACTCAGGCGAGGATGGCAAAAAGAAGAAGAAAGAGAAGAAGGACACTGCACAAAACCGTCTCACAAACGCACTCGTGTCGAACAGTTTGGGCCGGGGTTTGGTGCAGTTGTCCCTTTTGTTTGGACATGCTCATTTTCTTTGCCAGCCATTCATAGGGTCTCATCGAGCATTTTGTCCCACCGTGTCTATCGCGAAAAGTGTGACGAGGAGAAGAAGGCCAAAGTCGTCAAAGACGAAAAGATGGGCCAGGCGGGTTGGTCGCAGCCAGGTTTGGTTTGCTTGGCGTGCAGCTGTGGT